CTTACCAGGTACATTTGTCATCCATTATCCATCTGAGTAAAATAAACAAAATGCATGCATCTCAACCAACGTTTTTGTGGCATTTTGACTGAAGAAATTCATTCATTTTTTCAAGTAAACTCATGCTGTATAATATACAAAACTGTTACTACAATTATGGAAGACTTCTAGGTAAAATAAGATTTTTGTGAATGTATTTAAAAAAAAAACAACAGACGAAAGTTCTAGAGAGTGACCAGGGGCAGAACTATTTGGGGGAAAAAATCTGACCAAACATGAAATTTTTAAATTCCAAAATAACTTAAATTAAAAAAAAAAACGGGTTTTAAATGGATCACATTTGAAGTATATGTTTTAAATCTGAACAACCACCTCAATTATGAGCGCTATGGGTCCATATCACAATGATAATCTGTAAACAAATGTATATCAGAGGTGTCTACGAAGAAAACTTGAAAATTCAGGATGCCAATTTTGAAAAACTTCGCTTTAAAATAAATCTATGTTTAGCCTTCTGACATACTTGTTGCTATCGTTTTGTACAAAGCAAATTTTAAAAAAAGATTGCTTCTCTTGATTATTTATATAATTATGGCATTTAAAAGAATGTGATATTTGTAAAAATAATTTTTACCTAGTTAGAATTAAATATACTAAAAAAAAAACATTGCGGTAAAACAAGCGCAAGAAACCATATCGTGTATCAAGCATTCGTTTTTTACCTTCCTGTATTTGTAGTATAAATTAAATGAGATTTTGACAGTTTTTGTCGTTTACACTCCCCACTTTATCTCATACTGAGTATAAAGTATGCATTTTCATTATGCGAAAATCTAATTCGAGATTTCGAAAAGAATTTGACGTTTTTAAACATAGGGAGCCGTAATAATTTAGATTTGCAATCCTGTCCATCCGTATATGTCTCTGTAAACACGAGAACTTGAGTAGCGTTTCATTTTAGTTGACCAAGTTTAATATATAAGTACTATGTCAAATTTGTAGTTTTCTCTCAACTTTTTGGGCGATATCCTGTAAGAGAAAGTGGTGCTTGCTCCACTGTCGGTTTATCAAAGCCTACAACTTGAGAACCTTTTAAGTTAGGTAAACGAAATTTTAAATAGAAGTAATAAATAGTATGCAATCGTTCATTTGGAACGATTTCCGATTACCGGAATTGGTACTTGACAAATCTAGACGTTTAACACCGCTATGTAACTGTCATGCATTATTTCAGTATCAATGGAACCATCATGTATTTGTTTTATCTATACCACATGTCCAATTTTCACTGTTTTAGTTATAAATTTAGGTTATAAGTATAATTTACGTTATAAAAACAGGTTAATTAAAAAGTCTAGTGACATTTAAGCGCATATTCCTTATGCTATCTAAAAATAGCTCTGTCGTAGCGTAAATCAAGAGCAGGGTTAGTAAAACCATTGGTTAAAATACATGTTTTATTTACAATAGAGTTACATGACTAAAAACCATTGCGCGCCTAGCTACACAACGTGATGACGCAGCCGTTGAACGTGATGGCGCAGCTATTGAACGTGATGACGCGTGTGGTGTGGTTGGATAAAAATGCCTTCTAATTCGGTCCCAATTTTAATTAACTCAAAAATTTTTTTGTGACCGAACGAAAGGATATTTTTGAAAACTTTCTTCGGCAATATTGTTCTAAATTATGGCAGGAATCGATTGGTACATGTTTTAAGTCGCTAAGTGGTCTGGTTGCCGAGATATGGGCCAAAAGTGCATTTTTTCGAGTTTTTTTTTGCTTTTCCGGGAAATCCATGAAAGAAACCCGGAATTTTTATGGCCTATGTTCATCCTCGTAACTTGTTTAACATAATTGCTTTTAGAACTAGTCCTCGATATTGCTTCGTTGAGGAGGAGATACGACTTAAACCTGCGGACACACATTCATTCATCCATCCATTCATCCATCCAGAAATGACTGGTTAATAAACGCAATTCTCCAGAATGGAAATAGCGCTAAAAAATAAATATTCCCTTCTTTTTCTTGCATTTGCATTCGAATGCTATGCAAGAAGATGGTTGTAACCTCATGTAGTAGATGCAGACATTTTTCTCTTGTTAATGTGGGGTAGGGGGAATGGGAGTGACACTTGTTAATAAATATATTTTCTAAACACACACATGTATATATATATATATATATATATATATATATATATATATATATATATATATATATATATATATATATATACTAGGCATACTGCCTAGCTTCGCTTAGGTTTTCAAAAACATTTGATAATTTGAAAATTAATTATTTGGTGATGGATGAGGTGTGGAGTGCTTAAATTTAAACAGTAATGCTAATTTTAGAGAAGATGTTGTATGTTGTTTAACATCCGCTTTCAGAGAAAATATTTGAAAGTACGCAATTTATAACTAAAATGGAATTATAACTACAGAGGTACCATGAACAGTATATCTCATAACTTATATTACATTGACTTTTAAAATTAATCTTTTATTTAATTATGATACGCAGCTTAATTAACAACTTATTTTTTCTAAAACAAATGCTATACTTTGTCGTTTTCTGTTTCTGTTTAAAATAGTATACAATTATTTGAAAAATAATTATTTAAAAAGTTTACCTCCTTTAAATAATAATCATTAAAAAAGTTTAAAAAAACCCACGTTTTCTGATTGAACTAAAAAGTAGAAAATAAATGCTATAGGCCCTACATCACAATAATGCAAGCGATCACTCCTATAAGCGATCAAAAACGTGGGGCGCCGAAGTAAAAGTTATATTACTATTGATTAGATAATACTATTGACTTTTATTAGGGAGCTTGTAGAGAGTCAACAGTATTAGAAACTGTAAGAAAATCACGGCGCCCCACGTTTTTGCTCGCTTATAGGAGTGATCGCTTGCATTATTGTGATGTAGGGCCTATAGCATTTATTTTCTACTTATTAGTTCAATCAGAAAACGTGGGTTTTTAAAAACTTTTTTAATGATTATTATTTTCTACTTTTTAGTCTTTGTCTGTTTGTTTGCATTAAAATCTTGCTATCGATTTTATCTTTTCACTTTTTTTGGGTAAACGAAGACAACTCGTAAAAAGACAACTCGTAAAAAGACAACTCGTAAAAAGACAACTCGTAAAAAACACGTTGTTTGAATACGTTACTGACTAGAACACATAGATTTGAACCCGTGTCGAGTGGGATAGCAATCGTGTGCCCAACCACTCGACCATATCGTCTCCCCCAAACTGGCCTACCTCCTGTAAGTTTAAACTCGGTTCAAGCTAAATTCTCTGCCCCTAAGCCTGTGGCGACATGTGATCGTTCACTTCACTACGCGCGAGGTACGCGTCGCTGGTTTTTTTTTGTAATGGCTAGCAGAGGAGAATTATATATATAGATTATATAGCGGTCTAAAATGCTCAATAAAATGTTTCCATTGATCAATTTAGTAATAATAACAATTGAATATTCAATGGTCATCCAAAAGAAAGCTTCCCTGAAAATTTCAGCGCGCTAGCTAACTGGGAAGTGCCAGAAATTTCGATCGCAAGATTGGATTGGAAAGACAAACAAATAAATAAATAAACACACAGAGAAAGCAAGTTAAAGAAAACGTGGTAAAAATGGACCGAATGACGCAGTACCCCCAATATGACTACCTTTTTACGTTAAGCTACAGCTATTGACTTGTGTCGATATTATTTAGGGCTTAAACACTAAACACTTAACCTGGCAGCCTCTAGAACAACAATGTATATCATTGTGATGAGAATTGCCTGTAGAATTTAGTTATGAATTTTATTATCGTGCTAAAGTTAAGTATAATAATCTGGAACGCAGTAGGCCAAGGGAAAGTTGGCCAAGGTTAGATCAGTTAAGGAGTGTCGAATGGGGAGGGGTGGGCTACGTGGGTAGGCCTTTGTTGTCTAATATGATTGTAGTGCAACCGGAAAGCGCCTAGAAATTAAAAAAAAACAACAACGAAGGAATTGATTATTATTCGCATTGAGGTTCTATAATGTGTATGTTTTTACTACTTCAAAACATTTGAAATTCATTTCACTAATGGCGGATGAAACAGGGAAACTGAAAACTATTTAATTTTTAAAAAGATAAGTAAACTGAAAATGATAAAGATGGCAGAGGACACAAGGTTATCAGTTAAAGGGTGTGACAGGGGGGGGGGGGGGTGAGGGTGGGTTTGAATATGGGTACGTCTCAATTACTACCGGATGCACATCTGGCAGGAAAGCGTGGGCTGGACCCACAATTGTTGACACAAAACTTAGTGTTGGTAGATATAAAAACTGCGTAGGTGGTTAAATATAGATGTAGAGCCAGGAACCTACAGTAGTCATTTTTAGACAGTCAGAAAAGAAAGACCAATAATTATTTATTTTCTTATTCGCATAGTCGTGTTTTAATGAGTATCTTTTTGATAATTAAAGCAATTTAAATTCATTTTAATGATGTCGGATGGAAAAAGGAAATTTAAAACTACTTTATTAACTGATTTCTTTACAAAGAAAAATAAAACTGAAAATGATAAAAATGAAGATGGTACTATTGACTCTCAAACTACATTACATCAAGAAATTTCCATAAATTCAGCACCTTTGACTGTTTCTTATGCAAATGATATCGGCAATTTTATCAAAGGAGTTATTACAGACGGTACACGGTTGTATTTATTAGAAAACATCTGGCGTCCCGAAGAACTTTTTAAATTTCCAGCAAGCGGACAAAGAAATTTAAAGTTTCAATATTCGTGGCTACTTAGGTGGAACTGGTTGACTTATTCCAAATTACTTGATGGCGCATTTTGCAAATATTGTGTTTTGTTTAGTTTGAATTATGTTGGTGTAGGTAGTCAGCCTTTAGGTAAGTTATCAAAAATTCCATTTTCAAACTGGAAAAAGGCAACAGACAAGTTTAATGAGCACCAGCAATGTGAATAATTACTTTCCCAAAATCGTAAATCGGTTATGGAGAAAAAAATAGAACCTATTAACATCGCCTTGAACTCATCAGTAAGTCAACAAATTCTAGAAAATCGTTTAAGGTTAGCGCCCATAATAGAAACTATAATTTTTTGCGGCCGACAAGGTCTTGCACTTAGGGGGCACAGGGATTTCGGAAATTTTCAGTTGGAGGATCCTGACGAAAATGATGGAAATTTTCGAGCTCTTTTAAGATACAAAGCCATGGGTGGAGACGAAACACTTAAACATCATCTAGAAAATTCTTCAAAAAATGCAAGATACTTAAGTCCCACCATTCAGAATGAAGTGATAAATGTGTGCAATAAATTAATTGTTCAAAAGATTGTTGCGAAAATTACTTCTGTTAAATTGTTTTCTGTCTTAGCCAATGAAACTAGTGATATAGCTGGTATGGAGCAATTTTCGTTGTGTGTTCGCTACTATGATAACGACATAAAGAAAATAAGGGAGGATTTCCTACAGTTTGTAGGTGTAACTGATCTAACAGGCAAAGGACTTGCAAATGTTTTAATGGACACTCTAGCAAATTTACACATAGACGGTAATTTTATGATAGGTCAAGGATATGATGGAGCCGCTGCAATGAGTGGTCGACTTCATGGGGCGCAACAATATGTTGCTGAGAAATTTGATTTGGCTATTTACGTGCATTGCGCATCTCACAGTCTAAACCTAGCACTTTCTGATGCCTGCGAACTACCAGCTGTGAGAAACTGTATGGGAATTCTTAATAGTACATACAACTTTTTTAACACACCAAAACGACAATCTTTGCTTGCAAATTCAATAGAGAAATTAACACCTAAAGCATCAGCATCTCGACTTAAACGATTGTGCGCAACCAGATGGATTGAGCGTCATGAGTCTGTCAACGTTTTTATACAGCTTCAAAAAGCAACTGTTGATGCACTGGAAATTATGTCATCCTGGCACGATACAACAACTTCTTCAACAGCGGTTCAACTTTTAGGAGCAATTAGGAGTCTTGAGTTTCAAGTTTCTCTTAGAGTTATCTCAAAAATCTTTGCAATAACACTTCCTGTCAGCAGAATACTCCAAACAGAAAACTTTGATCTATCTGCGGCTCTAAAATTTACAGAAGATTCAAGTAGCCTACTAGTGAATATGCGGAAGGATGCTGAATCAGAATTTACTACCGTATTTAATGAAGTCAAAGACATTTGTGAGGACTTCGACATAGATATACTTATTCCACGTCGAGCTGGAAAACAAATTCAACGCTGCAATGTTATGGCAAATACGCCTGAAGAGTATTACAGAATAGCTGTATTTATTCCTTTCCTTGATTCGGTTATATGTCAAATAGGAGACAGATTGCTAAAACATAAATCTGTTTTGAGAGGTTTTATGTGACTTTTACCCAATGACTCGGGTTTTACCAAAGAATAGGAAAAGAATGCCATAATACTTATGCAAAAATATGAACGTTTGATTAACAGCAGTGTCATCGATGAAAGCATTGGAGAACTGAAACTGTGGTGGCGCCACATTATTACAAGTGGAAATGTACCGCAAAACGCTCATCAAGCTTTTTTAATGTGTGACGTAAAAATATTTCCAACAGTACACAAACTACTGCAAATATTTGTAACATTGCCTGTAACAACTGCCGTTAGCGAACGCTCTTTTCCCACTCTCAGACGGCTAAAAACGTACTTTCGAAATACTACTTGCGAGGATAGACTAAATGGATTGGCATTATTAAATATTCACCGACAAATTGAAATTTTAGCGGATGAGGTTCTTGATGAATTAGCCAAGAGTCCAAGAAGACTTGAACTACGATTATAGGTAAGTAATGTTATAAGTACTTTTATCTGTTTGCTGTGTTCTAGTACTGTTATTGCGTCTATATATATATATATATATATATATATATATATATATATATATATATATATATATATATATATATATATATTATATATAATGCTGGAAAAAAATTGGAACCCCCCCCCATGAGACGATCCTGGCTACGCCACTGGAATGACGTATGTCTTTGTTTACTTTTTAGCGCAATTTCCATTCTGGAGAATTGCGATTATTAACTCGTCATTTCTGGGAATGGATGGATGTCCGCAGCTTTAAGTCGTATCTCCTCCTCAACGAAGCAATATCGAGGACTAGTTCTAAAAGCAATTATGTTAAACAAGTTACGAGGATGAACATAGGTCATAAAAATTCCGGGTTTCTTTCATGGATTTCCCGGAAAAGCCAAACAAACCTCGAAAAAATGCAGTTTTTGGCCCATATCTCGGCAACCAGACCACGTAGCGATTTGAAACATTTACCAATCGATTTCTGCCATAAGTTAGAACAATATTGCAGAAGAAAGTTTTTAAAAATATCCTTTCGTTCGGTCACAATTTTTTTTAAAAAATTACTTTATACATAATACATTAATGTACTATATAGCAAAGAAGGCATTGGAAGGCGAATAAGGAGGAGGGTAAATCATGTGACTGGCTGGCTTAGCAGCAAACTGCGCGAGCCGCAGGCGAAGGAGGAGGAGGGTAAATCATGTGACCTTGCTGGCTTAGCAGCGAACTGCGCGAGCAGTTCTATATAGCAATATAGAGAGCGCGACAACAAAATACCCACTACACGTCCGCAAATTAATAAAGGAAATTGCGCTTAAATTGTCACTAGACTTTTTATTAACTTGTTTTTTAAACAAACAGTTACTATGCTTATATAAGAAAAGACGATATATGAAATAATTAACGACTACAATGGCTATTTCCGATGGGAATAAAGTTTGTTTGTTACCCTCCAGGGTCGGTCTACGACCTCAAATAATATTAAGGGGATCGTTCGTCAATTTATTTATATATATCTCATTTAAGGAGAATTTCACTCGCGGTCATCTTTTAGCCCTAGTCGAGGGCTTTGAGTCTGACCAACAGTTTTTCCATACGGCCTAGTCATCTATAGAAGTGTATACAAAACATTTGCATGATGTACAGAGGTTAAGTAACCTAAAAATTGTGTTGAAAATTCCGTTTTCCCCATAAAATACAAAGATTATATAGGGAAATACAACTGGTCAGTTTTGACCCCTTTACGAAGTTTTCCCAGATATGCCGAGTTTTTTGCGACATCCCTATGTGTTCTCCTACCACCTCACAAAATATCAAGGGGGGTCGTTTGGCAAGATCTTTTTTCGTTATATAGCTCAAATAAGGAGATTTTCACTCGCCGTCATATTTTAGCCCTCGTCGAGGGCTTTGAGTCAAACCGACAGCTTTCCCCAAAGCTCAAGCCATTTACCTAAGAGCATGCAAAATCCGTTTTGAATTTGTGCCAAATTTGACGCGCCTGCTGCGCCGGGAAGTGCCCTATCGGGCCCTTGACCACTTTGCTTTATATATATATATATATATATATATATATATATATATATATATATATATATATATATATATATATATATACTCCAACAAAATTAAGAATTACGTATCAACATGTTATGCACTTGCGGTCACCTTTTAGCTCTCATTGAGGGCTTTGAGTGAAACCGACAGGTTTGCCCTACGGCCAATCCATTTACCTATAAGCGTGCCAAAATTAGCCAGAAGTAAAGAAGGTAAGTTCCCTAAACTCCGTTTTCAAATTACCCTCTGTTTTTCTCATAAAATACAAAGATTATATAGGGTAACACGACTGGTCAGTTTTGACCCATTTCCCAATTTTTCCCGGACATGGCGAGTTTTTTGTGACACCCCAATGCATTCTCCTACCATCTCACAAAATTTCAAAGGGGGTCGTCGGAGGAAATGTTTTTTCGTAATATAGCCCATATAAGGCGCCGGTCAGTCGAGGTCAGTTTTGACCCCCTCTCCGTGGAATTTTCGGCGAACCATCATCGTGCCAGATTTGACGCGCCTGCTGCGCCGGGAAGTGCCCTATATACTCCAACAAAATTAAGAATTACGTATCAACATGTTATGCACCATATGGTCCGTCGACTCCAATCTCAGCCTGCTTGTTTTTGGATTTGCTACCATCTGAAAATAAACTACAAGGTAGCAGTTGTTTGAGTTTAGAGTTGTCTCTCCTAGATGGGCTACTTTCTTCAGCTGAAGAGCCTCTTCTGTCTGGGAGAGAGTAATTAATTTGGGTCAATGGACTGTGGGGTCTTGAAGGTGGGTAATTCAATGGCAGTGCAGTACTCTACAAACTGTTAACAAACGTCACTAATTTGGCACTGAATCCTTTGGTGTTTCTTAAATTGTAAAAAAGAAAACCATCAATATCGAAAGGTTTGACTGACGTTTGCTTGAGTTAGTATTCAATATTCGCAAGACTGCTAACTGCTAAGTTTAAAGTAGGATCCCGTAATCGAGTTCATTAGGCGTCCCTGATGGTTCCTTAATTACATTAGAGAAAAACAAATATCCCGATATAGACAATCTATAAAACAAATAAACATTACTACATTTTCTCCGCATTCACTGAGAACATGGTAAGAGGTCATCCATTTATGACGTCCACAAAAATTTGGAATTTAGACCCCCCCCCCTTCCACATGCGTCCACTTTCGACCTATATCCCCCCCACCCCAATTGTTGACGTCCAAAAAAATTTAGTAGACCTCAATATTTGCTGCAAAATTACTAATTCATTTACATCCAATTTGTACATATACTAATAATTTAATTTAGGGATTTGATATTTTCGGTAACATCTATTTCTAGGCCTAAGTAATAGTCGGGAGTTACATTTTTCCAAGATGTCCGTAAGTCTACGGCGTTTTAACTTACCGTGTGAATGTGCTAAGACTATCTCGAACTGTTTTTTTTTATAGACAGAGTGATCGCTGATTTACATTGTGTACTCTGCCTCTCGATTTTAAAGACTTTTTTACCCACTATTTATTATAAAGAATCATAGTTTGCAGGCAGTCATGCAATGCATCTTTCTTTTTTTTAAACAGAAGAGCTGTAGACTGATTATTTTACCGTCATTTGTGGCTGTCTAGCTATCAACGACTATATGGGTTCGGGTAAATTCGGCTAATCAACGTGAGGTTATTACATTACTTTTAGTCAACTTTACGCTGCATGTGTTTCAATATCAAACCGCCTCTCCCTTTTTTGTGGTCGCGCTGATGGTTAGCCCTACACACCTGACCAAGCGAGCGCATTATACACACGTTGATATTTAAATATGTAATTGTAACGTGGTTGTTTTGAGATTTTACTTGAAAAAAAAATGACTAGATCTACATTGTCTTCGGCTTTTACACAAAATAATGATGCAAACCTACTATGATTTGGTTACAATTGTTTGAAATGTTTAAAAATAAACTGTAGAAAACATGAGTTGTTTTAGAAAATTGCAGCAGTCACTAACCCATCCCCTCCCGCTAGTAAAAACAAATTAAATTAAAAATGATTTTTTTACAGAACCCTTCCTTTAAAGTGTTCTAATGAACTCACCAAAGTTTGACAGCGATCAGATGAATGGTGTCAAACCAAAATCGACTTTTATTTTTATATACCGTATATTGAGAAAAACAAATCGCGCCCTGCAGGGGCGCCACCCCTGCGAATTTGAATTTTTTTTTGCAGAAACCTCGACAGGAATATTCTCAACAACTTTCCAAAGTTTCACGGCGATGTGATGAGAGGTGTAGTAATGCATAAATGACAAACAAACAGACAGACAGACATAAATTTCTTTATAATATATAGCGTACCCGTCCCCCGCGCGTTGCCGCGGGGATAGAAGAAAGTTTGACGAAATATATTAGAAGAATTTCACCTTGAGTGTACATTAATCACTCACCGAAAGATATGGTAGAACACACTGCGGTGACCGCCCACGTGTCAGAGACGTAGAGGGGCGCTCTCAGGAGCCCCCCCCCCTATTACACTACCGCATAGGCGCGGCGTACTACCCCTGGCTCCTTAAATCTACCAGGCACCATCGTGCCAAATTCTGTTAACAATGATGCAGATTGCTTCATTCTCTAAAGTGTCACAAATGTACAGGATTTGTTATTTAACACGTACAAAAAATTATTAGACGTGTTTTAAATATCAGTGCGACTGATGCAATATGTTAGCGTTACTAATGGTCTAAAAATAGACGCTACTTGGATCATTCGCAAAGTGACGAAACTGGATTTTTTTTTACGGACAAAAAGAAACATCACCGTTAATAATCTAACCTTGGTTAATTTTTCTGATTATTAAAATAAAACGTGTTACATGGCCCTCAGCGGCCCATGTGAGCCTTTGGGGGCAGAAACAGAAATTTTTATTTGCAGCAAAATCGCACCCTACCAGGGCGCCGGAGGATATGCCTGATTCAATTTAGTGAGCTTTTGTAACGCCCCATCCTATCAC